AAGAAAAAAAAAAAAAAAGGAATAAAAGGTTTCCAAAAAAAAAAAGAAAAAAAAAAAAGCCTGATTTTTTAAAACTGAAATAATCAAATATTTTGGAATCATTTGCTTACATATTGCCAAGAAATGTTACTCCAGGAGTCTAAAAGTGCTAATGGCCTCTCCAAACACTTAATTAGATCCTTATGCAGAATGCAGTTTATTAAATAAAGAATAACTGCATCAACCAACATCACCTAGAACATTACCAGAAGAGCATCCAGTGTGTCCGTATTGTCACTAGTTTTAGGCATAAGTTGAGAATTTCAGTGCTAGACAAATAAGACTTTCAAGAGGAATACCAATGCCAGTGTTCAAAGCACTTTCATAAAATTTAATATGTATTCTACAAAAAGTGGGGAAATTTTTGATTTGAAAACCATACTAAGGAAGGAGAGATTTTAATCTTTCAACCTGGTTTGTAAATAAAGTTACTTTCCAGATATCCCTTTTAATTCTCCAATTCAACCACAAGTTTTATCACTGAAATACCTAAGAAATATGAAAATATTGAAAGATGATGATATTTTTGGCTCACCGATTCTGTAATATTCTTTTCCTGCAAAAATTCTTAATCAAAACAAAAAAATGTTATAAGACTTCCATGGATAAAAAGGTGCCTTTAGAAAATTTCAAAGAAGTTGAAAAAATTGAATATTTACAGTATTATTTTAAAAGACTCATCAAGAAACTAAGTTTTAGAATTTTTTTCTTTTATTTGTACATAATACTGATAGACTTAAATATCCTGAGAAAAGCCATGGAACAATTTGAAAATTAAAACTTTGAAATATTATGAACATACATAATCCTGGCTCTATAGCCACTACCATTGTCTTTAGAATTCATAATAATATATGCTGTATGTAAATATGTCAACAAAGCCTAATTGGTTTTTGGGAAAAGTATTCTAGTTATTTGCTATCACATACATTATAAAACACACACACACACACACACACACACACACACACACACACGCACCATGCAAACAACTTTGCTCTCAGTTCTGAGTTATGCAATAGGTCAGGCAGAAAAAAAAAATTTGCTGTTTCACTAATTCATTTTTTCCTTTACAATCCTTATGGAACTGAAAAGGAGAACTCTTTCCATTCTCTAACTCATTTGTGTTAATAGAAGGAGATAAATGCTTAAAAGATGAGAAGAAAAATATCATTATTCTCTCCCTTTAAAGCATATTCTGTTTCTTCAGTTTAACTTAATAAAACTTAATTATACCCACTGTATGAAGAACTATGAAAGTGTTTATCAAGTATTCCTGGACCGAAATCTAACAAAGAAAAAAATGCCTGTTCTTTATTAGACAAAGTGTACTGAACTTGGAGTTCCACCACTGAGGTTCAGAGTGCACAACTCAACTAATTACAAGTCTAAAAGTTTCATGAGCTTCACTCCAGGTATCACAAGCTGAAATTCCAGGCCTCTGTGTCATTCCCTGAAACATCTGCAACAGAATCTGAAATTCTTGATAAATGAGATAAGCAAAAGCATTTACTTAATTAGATTTTAAAAGCATATTTACTAACTTATACAGCAAATAAATTGAAAAGTTGTATACCAAAAAGCAACCTACATACAACAGAAATTAATTTTTAATTTAGAATTTGATGCCCTAAACATTATTTACTTAATGCAATTTTAAACATGATTCTCTTAATACTTGGATCAATTAAATATAAACTCATGCTAAAAAAAAACATAAAATGAAGCCCTTCTGTTACTTAAAAATACTTGCAATATGTGAATTCTTAACATTAATTTGGATTTCCTCCATTCTCACCAAAATGCAATCTATATAGCTGTACTTATGTACATATACATAACCTAATGTGCAGAAGCATCTGATTCTATGTTTATCCAGAATAATCTGTTTTGGCTTCTTCCCTGCCAAACCACTTCCAGTGTTTCAAGCAGGGCAATGACAGCATACACCTTCTTGTTATTATTTTTGTATGGAAGGCCAAACCAAATGTCTGGGTGGGTCTCCAAAGACATAAAATCAGTAAGGATTTTTTTTTTCCATCCACAGGACCCAATTACATTTAAATAAACTAACTCCTAGTGAAAGATTGGCTCCAACAGAGAATACCACATGACCACAGACACTGAAATTAAATCACAGTCATAAGTATAGAAGCCACCAACTTATTGTTAAAAATAGTCATGGGTACATCTTTGTGCACACACACACACACACACACACACACACACACACACACACACACTGGAAAATAATGTGCATTTGTTGCAGAAAGAAATCACTCCATTTTTTTTTTCTTTCTATGAGATGCATCCTTCATTAGGATTTCCTCATCTATGAAGTCATCTTTCTCAAACTAGATGTGTTAAAATACCAGTGACTTCTCTAAAGACCTCTCCTTAGGGAAACAGAAAAACTGCCATGTGCTGCTCTGGGCTTAAATGGATGAGTCCTTTTGGCTGATCCCAGTGGCAGAGACCTGACAAATGTGGGAAAGTCCTCAGCTGTGAGATGAGGGCTTAGGTTGTGGGCTCTTGGTCAATTGAAAGGTTGCATTAAATGTAAATTATAGGACTGTTCTGTAGATCTATGCTCCCTTCAACCAGGTGAAAGGTGAGCAGAGCATGGTGCTCATTCAGAGATGGCCTGGTGGTGGCTTCCTAGCAAGGACAAGAAGCAAGGCAGCCATGAGCAATAATAATCACCATCTCCGAAGGACAGAAAAGAGGGAAGGAAACACATTTATAAAAGCTCATATTAAGTTTTGCTTTTAAAGTACCTCTATGTATTTTTCTTTCCAATTTATATGAAAAAAAAAAAAGTATTAGTTTTAAAACTACAGCAGAACCGGCCATAAATATCCTGGTAACAATTGTTCTTTTATTAAATATTTATTGAAATAAATTCCTGTGCTTTCTCATTTTTCTTCTTCTGGTTCCAATATTTATTTACAGCTGATTATTAACATCTGCCAGAATAACGGTTTCATCCATACAGAAGCCGAAGGGTAAAAAAGTCACACACACCCTTCTAACGTGACCTGTAGTTAGACAGAAAACAGTTTTCCCAGTCACCGCTTGGCTTCCTGTCTGTGACCTCTGAAAAGCATTGGAGGCCAGGGTTAATGGCCTTTCCAATCTCTGTGATAAGAATTCATTTTGTTCTATTACCAGCAGTTATCTGAGGAGCCTGCTGCATCACTTCAGCAGGGTTCAATCAATGAGAGGACCTAATGAAGTAACCAGCTGTAGCTCTATTTCCCTGGCCAGCTCTATCAGACAAATAAGATCTATCAGTCACATCTTAAGGCTGATCCTACACACAGCATCTTCCCAGGCTGAACTCGTATGCATATGAACTAATGATAGCCCACCATTTCTTTTAAAGCTTCTCCTTTGATGCAGCTCTCCTGACAATGAAAACAGAATGGAGCGAGTTCTGAGATGTTGCATCAAGAGAACAACAATGCAAGATTAAAGAAGAGTGAATTTGCAGAAGAGTTGAAATAGTTTATACAAATAGCGAGGCGTTAAAATGACAGCTGAGGCTCTGAGCTTGGCTATGCTCAAGTACTTACACTTTAGGTTGGCATTTTTCAGTCTTCAAAGAAAAAGGAGGGAGGATGAAAAGCTACTTTCAGTGTTATCAATTTTATTGGTACAAGTTTAATGATAAGACTTGCATTTTGACTAGCCCTCCAGAGCAAAAATATATTTATGCTATAGTTTGACTTCTCAGTCAGATAATTCAGGATAAGACTGTAAGTTAACTTTGGGTTATTACAGTAGCTATTATCATTAAACACAAAAACAGAATTACTGAAAATTCTAATAATTGTAGAATGTAATTTTTAATTACAAATTTGTCCCTCCCTTCAATTCAAAAGAGTATTTGTTAATACCATTTCACACACGTAGAATGCGGGGGGGGGGGAGAAGTTTTGCACCTTCAATTAGTGGCATCATAACTGCATTAGACAGTCATCAGAAGTTCTGTTCAAAATTAACTCTTCCATGAGAAGGGGCATTGATGATGGCTCTATAGTTTTTGAACTGTTTCACAGGGAAATAATAGATGGTTCATAGGGAGTCATGAATAGAACATTCATGTTTGTGGATATGTTGAAAGCTACAAGTACCTTAGTTTAATTTATTAGGTTAATCAAGATGAATTACATGTAATACAATTTGTATTCTTTCAACTTGGCTGCTCTCTTTGTCGAATTGGAAGGAAAGAGAGCATAACTATTTTCTGTTACGTGAAAGAGATGATATCTAAAGGAAGTTAGTAAATGAAAAGCACTTGCTAAACTTGTACTTGATAAACACGTTCACACAGGCAAAAATGCTTTATTTCATTAAAGACGACTGGCATTCACGCAATACTGCTAACGTATTATGACATAAAAGTGCCTAAGACTGTATCTTCAAATGTCTTTAAAATTTTATGGGAGTATAACACTGCTTTCTTGTTAAAATTGCAATCACAGAGGTGCCTGAGTGATATGGATATGATATCCAGATGGCCTTTTCATTTCAAACCTTTGGAGATGTAAATGAAAGATTAAGGTACACTAGATAAGAGGTTGAAAGTAACAGAAAAAAATAATTGTCAGATTTAAAGAAAATAAGGAGCGTGACGTGGTGTGTGTGTGTGTGTGTGTGTGTGTGTGTGTGTGTGTGAGAGAGAGAGAGAGAGAGAGAGAGAGAGAGAGGAGAGAGAAAGAGAGAGAGAGGGAGGGCAGGAGGAGAGTTATTCCTGGACCTGTAACCATCTTGATCCATGTGAAAAGGACTGAAATATCTTGGCTGCATATGTAAACAGATAAGAATATGCCTAGCAGGCATTTTGGGAACATCTGTCAATTTTTTATAGAACATACTGATTGTGGGCTATTGATTGCATTTAAACAAAGTTGTTGCAAAAAAAAAATCAGCTAACAATTCGTGTAGAAAGGGCCAATCAATATTTAAATGACTCACTTTATTGATTTAAAATTAACTTTCAATTAAGAGATCCATAGGACTCTTAACTGCGACACTTATCCATTCAAGAGAAAATAAAGGTACATTTATCGATACACTTAAACAGCAGTGGCTGGTTTCCTATCGATTCAGTCATTTGCGCTGGGATTCGTTAGCGTCATCAGCCTTTAACTCACTTACTAGGTCTTCGCAGTGTACAATACTGCAAGATGTAGGAATGCGCAAAACAACACAAAGAAGGGATAGAAATTTAAACAGAATTAAAAGATAGAGAAAAAGGTAAGTCAACCTTACGCTTTCTTTTATTTTTCTTTTGCTATTATGAAAGGAAGAATGTGAATACAGCTATGTGGGTGACTATTAGATAAATAGGCCTTTTAAGGGGCTATTTTTCAAAGCAAGTGGTTTAGATAGGGCATATTTTGAAATTGTATAAACAAATGAAATCTTTGAACAACTGACTAGTAAAGAAAGTTTTATTGGCTTCTATTGACTAACATGATCACTAACATGCATATACTTGGTTATATTATAATCAATGGCAGCTAAAAAACAATAGAGTTTTTTTAAAGACAATAATTGCATTTCCATTGGAAATGCTGTCTATGTGTGTTTAAGGCCATATTTATTCAACAGTATTACAAGATTATGCTGTATTTTGGAAACGTGCTAGATATTACATTTTATAATTTATTTTTTATCAGGGTTTTCATGAAAAATAAAACTGCTACAGAAAATTAAACTATTATATAATATGGATGAATGAATAAAAACATGTATAGATAAGAAGATTTATCTGTGTATTTCCAAAATATCACTATCTACCTATTTGTTGTCTTTATTGCCACTAAAGGGGAATGTGGATGCAGAAGGCACTGATTATATACCTTTTATTGTGATTTCTAATATTATATCAGAAAAATAAAACCGAGTGCTCTCCATGGGGAACGCATCTTAGAGCTGTCTCTAACAGCCCTGACTGCAAATCTGTTTGTCAGCATTACTCTTTCTCAGGAATTTGAAACTATAGGTGTTGCTTTTTGGTTTTGACAATGCTCCTACATCTCTTACAGTCCTTTGGTCTCATATTCTTCAGTGTGCAGAGATGTCTGTACAAGAAAGAAGCCATCTCAAACAAAAACCCCCTACTCATTTACTGACATGTAATTCCTGGAAAGAGAGACAGAAAAGTCCATCACATTCTGCTTTTATGGAACATATTTTTAATTACCTTTACTCTTACTGCTAATCTTCAATATCTCACCATATGTAGTACGAGTACAAAAGATAATTTACACAATTTCAAAGATTAGCCTTCAGTTTTTTTCTCTGTGTACTGAGTCTGTGGTGGTTATTATACATGTCTTGAATCTTTGGGTTTGCTCTGAAATTTTAAGAAAAATTTGGAATGGATAGAAATATATGTATGATATATATAGATAGATCAATAGATAGATAAAATACACACACATATATAATACACACACACATATATATATATAATACACATATATGTACACACAAATATGCATATAATACACACACATATATAATATACATATATATGTACACACACACACGAGATCCAAATTTGTGAATATAAGAATCCCTTCCCATAAAATAGTCATATAACATTGGAGTAACATAATCTGGAATATACTATGGCAATCATATTTACTAAAAAGTGCATGATACTATTATTTCCCACTAGAAATCAGATGATGATAGCAGGTGGCACAGTATGCCTGTCACTGGTCCCCCTGATCTGCAGAGAGAGATGTGTGGTTCTGTCTAAACACTCAGGAGTAGTAACAATTGGCTTAAGCACTATCCAATCCCTAGGTGCCTCCAATAGGGATTCACTTTGATTTAATACTTCCTTATCACATCAAAGAAGGTGAAAAGGCACCTTTATGGATTGGCTTGCAAAGATTAAAAACATAATAATAAAAAAAAAGGTTTGGCTTTTACCTCAGTATATAAACTCTCCTTAAAAACTCTGGGGGCACTTGGACATGACTATAGAAACAAAATATTTTAAGATTCAAGCTATAAATCCACATAACAAAAATAATTAAAAGTTGAGTTCTTTCCATCTCTTGAAAGCTGCAAACTGCCAATTATACCATTAAAAAGAAAGAACAGAACTAACTAAAAATACCTGTTTGGTGGACCTAAGAAAAATATTTGTTCTGTCCCATAAAATAAATTATCACCTCAGCTGATACAGTTCCTAAAAAAATGTTTGCTAAGATTTTTTTCCATGTCATTAATCCTATTTTATCTGTAACCAAAACCGATTGAATATACCATCTCACAGCAGGCTTGGGAGAACTTCAGTAAAAATAACACCGAGTCTACACCCACAGCTCACTAGTCAGATCTCAGGAATTTCATAAGCCATCTCATCTCTTCTCTGCATTCACTGGTTATCATCTTAATGACATAAGACATTAAATGGTTTGGAGCTAGGAATCTTGTCTTTTGGATGATCACACTACGTGTTATTTGAGTGGGATGTTGTAATTTAGCAGTGATAGAAAAAGAGATCTGCTTGAAGATGATGAACCATGCTGAGTGAGTCATGAGAAAGTGCAGGCAACACATGCCTAAAAGGCAAACCCAGTGATTCCTATAAAGCATGGGAGATGAGTGTTATCTAATTTCTGAAATTCTCTTATCTAGCTTCATCTGCTTTGATAGTGTTTGTTTCAGGATCATGATTGTGTTTTTTTATAATAGATCAAAGACATAGCTGATAAGACTTGATTCTAGATAAATTTGTTACATTTTCAGATATCTTACAATATATGAAATCTCACAGCATGGCTAGTTTATTTAAACCTTTTTTCTCCCTAAAGGCTTACTTACACCATAATTTCAGAAAGGTTTCATATCACTTTATCCAAATCATGGCTAAGACGGACACAAGTAATTACAGGAATTAGTGCTACAGGGTGTAAAATTGGTCTTCTTGTAGAAGAGGTGCATTCATTTCATTCTGGAATTCCCTGCTGAGAAATGATGTGTGCAAACTATCTAAGGACCCTGTAATCCTCTGATGTGTGTGTGTGTGTGTGTGTGTGTGTGTGTGTGTGTATCTATATGCAAAGTTGCATATAATCTTTGGCTAGAAAAAAAAGTAGGTGTTGTACATACCAAGGACAAATGCCAAGTATTCTGTGCTGAATTTAATTGATAAATCTCATCTTGTAGGGGGGAAAAAGAAATTTTTGTGTGTGTGTGTGTGTGTGTGTGTATGTGTTTTACCACAATGGAAGTAAATATAATAGATTTCAGCTTCATATCAAAAATGCAAAATGGCTATACATCTTGAGTGGATTCTAAATTGGGTAAGACTCTATGATCTGATGAATTCATATGCTTTTTCCCCTTTTATAATATTCTCATTTTCAATCCTATGACTAAAACGAATATCCCTTAATAAAATCGAGAACTATCGTGTGTAAATGATGGAAAACAAATTTGGTTGTGTGCCCTAGGCCATTTGATTAACTGTGCAAAATAGGCGAACAGCAAGCTGCAGCACACAGAGGGTCACGTGAGGGATTTTAACTTCTTGCTCCACCACAGAAAATCGCTCAGCGTTAGGCATGAGGCCTACTCTCTCAGCCTTGCGTGCCACTGATTAGTGCAGCCTTAGTAGAACAGAAATCCTTAATCTTCTCTTTTTAATATTGAAGAGGTAAACCCCTTTTACCTGCATGTGGAGGCTGCCTTTTCATCAAAGCTCAGGAGATTCCAGCAACAAAATCAATGTATGCATGTTCAGAGCAGTTTTCAGGGTTTTGTAAGACAAATCTCTCAAATGGGGGCTAGTTTAATGCTATTGAGCTGGGCTTCGATCTGACCCAGTGAGTGAACAACACAGCAACACTTCATTTCCAGGGCTCAGGCGACAGGAGGAGGCACGGTTCTCCACAAATGCAGCTGTGGAATTTCCCTTTGACCTCTCACCTCACTTAATCCGACTTTAAACCTTCCAGTGGACTGGTTAAATAAATAAATATTTAAAGGTAAACCCAAATCAACAAACATAATTAACTAATTTCTCTTTTCCATGTTAACACACTACACCAGGAGAAGTTTGCATGTTGATGAAGCGCTTTAGCAGGGACAGGGAAAGTTCTGGAAACTCAGGACTCCTTTTGAAAGGCACACTGTTCTCAAAGGCCAATGAAAATGCTAATTTCTTTCCCTTTTCTTCAGGATATAGATTTGTCTATCGAGCTAGGAAGGGTAATTTGCTTTAAATGAAAGTATTTCTCTCCTAGTATTTATGGTACTCACTTTTAAAAGCTTTGCTTCTTCAATAGTGTAGGCCTCCTATCTTTTTGCAAATCTTCAAAGAATATATAGCTGCTCAAATTCCCCTGTTACTAGAAATCCTAAAGTCACTAAATATACATTGTCTTATACAGCTTTAAGTTACAAACTGAAATCTTCATTGATATTTAAAAACCAACCTTTGGGCATTGGGCTGTACTCAACATTGTACTGGAAAGGCCCTGATGGTTCAATCCATGTTGCTTCCATTAGTTTCATAACTTCCCAAATGACCTGATGTGAAATCAATCATGAATTTACACAGCTACAGCCTTCCTTTCATGAAAGAACATTTTATTATGGCAGGAATAAGGCATCTGAATATATTCTAAGATTTGGGGGAAAATCAAAGGAAAACCATCTCAGATTCCTTGTTTCATATTGAGGTGAGTATTTTCTCAGACATTTAAAACAATGGGTAGACTTAATGCAAATATTCTAAGTCTGAATTATGACCTGATGTGACAACAGAACTGTTTCTAAATATGATTTATAACAATTTTGTATAGTTATAATATGGATATAAATATACATTGTCATTTTTTTTCTTCGTACAAATGAGAATTCTTCATTGATATGTTATCACAGTGATTTTTTTTAAATTTAAAATGAAATGAAATATAATGGAGCAAAGATACTCCTAATGATGTTGAATGTGTATTTATAAGATCTTTGTTTTTTCCCCTCATTAAAATGACTTTGGGTTTGGAAATTTGAAGCTTATATTAAATCAAATATTTCAAACTAAAGGCTAGAAATGAGTGTGCAATTATTGAAGTCCCTTTTTACTTTTAAATAAGTAATCCAGCTAATGATGGACACATACACTAAGCATTGTGATAACATTCACCTCTCTGTTATTCTGCATACTCTTGGGAAGTTACCCCTGATTTATGATCCCAATTGTATGAAAAACAGGTCAACTCAGAGGC